CCCCCCCCCCCAATAACGTTTTCTTAGAATTGCCCAACTGGGCTCAACGGGACTGAATCCTAAGCAAACGTGGTTGTAAATCCTGAGATGTATCCCGAGCTTCGCTTCAGAGTGGCGGTCCAGCCAAATGACCCTCCTCTGGCACCACGGAGCCCTCCCGGACTTTCTGAAAGGGAAGCTGTGGGGTTTTTTCCCACCTATCCTCCACCCCCAGCAAATTCCCGGTGTCAGGAGAAGAGGGCTGCTGGTACTGTAGTCGAGGCAATGGGATATTACAAATACAACCTTATCCCATTAAAGGAAAGCATAAGAGTATCTTCGATGGCTATATTTGATTGCAGAAAAAGAGCTTCCTTCCTTCCTTCCTTCCTTCCTTCCTTCCTTCCTTCCTTCCTTCCTTCCTTCCTTGTCTGTCTGTCTGTCTCCCTGTCTCTCTGTCTCTCTCCCCCTCCCCCTCCCTCCCCCTCTCTGTCTCCCTTCCCTCCTCTCCGTAGCCACGGAAAGTTTTGATGCCCAGGGGAAACCCGAGGGCTTTTGGCCCTCGAATTCAAGTCGCAGAACTGGATTCCAGGACCATTAGAGCAAAATTCGAGCCCGGGAGAACCTGGGGTTTTGTTATTTTGTTGTGCTCTTATCCATCGGAAACAGGGCAATCCGAATGGTGAGGCATGGTCGTCGCTGCCAGCAAACGGTGGAAGGTCCCCCCCCCACTCCGGATCCCCTTGCAAGGTTAATCTTCTGTCCCTCCGGGGGGGGGGCTGGGCTCCCCCCCGCCGGAGCAAGCCGCAGGGGCATCATCCCGCCGCCCAGCAGCACCGTGTCGGGCCGGGAGACGGACTCCCACACTTGGGTAAAGGAACAAGGGGCGGCCGCGTCCTCCTCCTCATTGGCCCGCAGTCCGGCCGGTAGCTAAGCAACCTCCGCCGGGGAAGGCAGGAGGCACCGCTCGAGGAGGTCCGCGGGGGAGACGCTCGGCTGGAGCGACTGGCCAGGCTGGGTGTGTGTGTGTGGCTGTTCCAGCCGCCTGGACGCCCCCCCC